CGCCAATCCCATACTTACCCCTGTACTGGGGGTTCACTGTGTGACAGTCACTGATGGCTTATACTGTTACAGGCCATCACAATCATTTTACTGTTGGAGCACAGGGTATTCTAATGCCTTCTGAAAGGTATTTGAAACCTGAAGGCAGGAATCAAAGGGATCTGAAGGTATAAGAAAGCCTATCCAATTTCAAGTGAGAAAGGACCTTCCTTTCATAGTATAGTTTGAAGTGCTGCTTTCTAATCAACCACTACACTGATATATAACTTCACTTACAAAGGTGCAACTAAAATGTCAGCTCATACCTTACTTTTAGTATCCATCCATGCATGATTTAGCTTTAGTGCCAAAATGCTAATTCCAATTGAAAAGGTATAGATTTTCTTTGCTCTGAATGAAAGGAATTCCTCATAAATCTCAGGTGATGAATTGAAGTGTAGTGTCTTGTGGCACTAAAATGATTTATTAGTGAAAAATAGTGATATAACCTTCTACTTGCTTTTTAATGTGATATTAGTCCATGATCATAGGAGAGTGTCACCTAAATAATTATTTGCTGACAGAATTTAAGCACAATGCATTTAATTCAGCTGTTAGACAAGCTAAAAATGGCTACCAACATTTTCAAAACTATCTCTAGTACAGCAGTGAAAAATATGCTCAGGAGCTAAATGTGAACCTTGATTGAGAAATGGTCATTGAATGAGGTCTGGTTGTGACTAAGCGAATAATAAAGAGCAATGCCATCTGCAAAAAAGATAGCTAGGTTCTTAAATGCTCCAGCATGCTACAAATGTTCTTAGCTAGATTACAAACTACACAAAAAACGGAGCATTCCTTTTAAATATCATGTAAAAAAAACAGCCACCTGTTATCAAACCTGGGAAGTTCATATCCATGAATATCCCATATCCAATAAGTGAATTGTAATGGTAGACACAAATTTGAAGATAATTGAGAAGGTTTTTAGTTTGATGTTCATTGATACTTTCAGAAGAGATGCTTATATGGTTGAGATTTTGTCAACATAAAACATTAAATACATGGAACAGTTTCTGACATGGTGTATGTTCTGTGAAGATTTAAGATTGTGTGTTTGAAAGACTGGTTGAAGTAAGCACTGTTCTGTGTGGGGGTTTAGTGTGCATGAGGTCACTGAAGACTAATTCACTGTAAACCCATTTAAAGTCATGTAAATAAGACATAGACTAAAGCTAAGAATTAATCACAATTAACTGGACAATAAGATTAGTTAAATACGTGTGCTACAGTCATATACCTCTATGCAAAAAAATGTAACGCATTGAAATAAATACACAACAAATATACTTCTACAACATCAGTATAAATTTTAATTTGTATTACATTAAAGAATTCGGCAAACGAGAAGAAAGTCTGATTGATTAAATGTGTAAACTTTACAGTCTAAAAGAACAAAATTATTCTCATCTTTAATCATTAATATATGGTTTTCATTCAAATTCTGAAGCTTCGAAATATTCCTTGCGGAAAGAATGTTCAGTCCTTTTAGTCGAATCAAACAATTTAATTCCATTAAGCTCTTCCTTTCTTCTCAAAACAGCCAAAATAATTAGCGAACGAATTAATACGTTCAAAGCAACATTTATGGAGAGCATGAGGTAAATAAAATGGTTAATCTCCCTAAACTGACCTGTTGAAATGGTGAACGGGAATGAAATGGTTGCCAATTTGTTTGCAATGCGGTCGAACTGTACGGGAGATCTTTTTGCCTTGACAGGCAGGTGAGATCAAAGAGCGAGGGGACAAAAGGCGCTCAGCAGCGATTTGTCAGGGGACGAAAGGCAGTCCTGTCTGGGAAAGTGGCTGCAGCCCCGGCCGGGCCCTCAGATCACTGGCACACTAAAGAAATCGTGGCATGAGAAAAAGTACAGCAAAAAAGGTTCAAAGGTCAGTTTGATTTGGTTTGGATTATTGGTGCCTCCTTCCTTGGACAAAAGAGCCAAGAAAAAGAACCGATGGCTAATAACCTTTGTAATCTTGGAAAAGGAACTTTTGTACGCATAATTTGGAATGTATCTACAATTAAAAGGTAGTTTAATAACATTTTTTCTCTCGCATACAATATCGTAAGAAAACCGAGTAAAAGACCGTTCAAATTCTCTAAACTCACAATGGTCTAAAATGTGGTTAATATTACAAAAGAAAAATTCCATCTTATGATAAAGTATACCCCCATAATGCCATATTAAAAGGGACTTTAATAAGTGAAATTCTCAAATCGTGGTTTTCTTTGACCGTCAACGACCACGGAAAAGATGGTATCGGTTTTTGTCTGTGATCAACTATTTCATTTTATTCCGTACTAGCCCCTCTTGAACTGCACCAGCCAAAGATTTTTATCACTCTGTTCACATCATTGAGAACGAACATCTAATGGTTTCCTAAAATATCCCTTCTGTTAGACTCGAAGATGTTTGATGTTTGAACAAGTAATGACTTTTTAATTGAAGAGGGTGGCGATTTTTCTATTGACACACCCCTCCCACCTCCTTGGAATTTATTGCTTTTACAAATTGAAACTTCCTTTTCCCCCATTCACCTAGAAAAAAAAATCGTAAATCATTCACGCTGGCAAAGAAGCCAGTCAGCCATCATATAGATTACAGTAGCCATGTGAAAAGAGCGAATACATTTCTGTAGTCCCTGCTAAAGCGAGTCCCTGCTGAATAAGGCCAATTTGAACAATAATTTACTACAGGTATAAAACAATATTTAGACTTGTACTGGTGTGGTCCAATTACATGGAAACGGACATTAGAAATAATGTAGCGTCTACAATATATTCTTCTAAACCGAAGCAGCACATCTTCGAGGAAGCACAAAAAAAAAAACAGGTAAATGTGTTTTAGTACTAATAAACTAAAGAAAATGCTCACCAACCAATCCATGATAGAATTGATAAAAAGCACGGTACTGTCGAGTGTGAAAGAATGGAAAAGATGGCGCAGACCAAAACTATATAAAATTGTGATGTAGTATACTCTTAGTTACATATAAACACTAAAGTACGTAAAAGTTTCTTTTTTTTCAGAATCATTTCAAGATATACTGAATTAATGCCATTGGATTGAAAAGGCCCCTGACATTCGACAATGAAGGGAGAGAACAAAATCCGACTACTCTCTGATTATTACTTTGAGGTTTTGTGGGCGGCTGAAGACCGTAATTAAAAATACTTCCAGAAAGAAACAGCAGACCACATCTGAAGTCCCACCCTCTGTAAGAATCAAACCACATCAAAAAAAGTCTCTTTCGAAAAAAAATGGTCACCAGAAAACGTATAATATACATCACTCGGTTAATGTTTAACTGTGTTGATGTCCGACCTGCAAAAAGTCTGGTGTCTTCAGTAAATAGCGCCAGACATCGGTTTTAGTCACCTTTCTTTTTTCCGGTAAATTCTGTGACACACAATACATGACTGGTGTATTGGGAGGAGAAGACAAATTAATGGTGCATTCCCGAGAGGTTTTGAAGCATAGCTTTAAGAGCATGTACTGGTGTAATGCCAAAGGGGAGAGAGATTTGTAGATGATGGTGCTAATTATGAAAATGGTAACCATAACGCGACCAATATGGAAACAATTTAAGCAAAAGTCATTTGCGTGTTACTCTTCCGCCCACGGGCTGCACATATCCAGAGCTTTAATATTAAGAAGGGATAGTCTAGCTCTGAATCCATAATATATTATATAGTGCAATGTGAACTAGTCTATATTGCACATTGGGGATCCTACTTCAGGAAAATACATGTTTGGAGTCAGATGAGCTGCTTCTAGGAATAAAATTGTGCTAAACTTATCAGATGGAAATCAGCTGTGAAGATACAGTAACTCTTGTTACGACACTCTGGCAAGAGGTCTTATTGTGAGGCTTTTATCGCAATCGTCTTCATTCTGTTTTTCCAATAACGCCCAGAAGATGGAATATACTCTTCAGATTTTTTTGTTTCTGAAATAGCAAGGATAAGACGAATCCAAGTGGGTACCGCTCTGTAAACTCCTCGCCAGACTGCCAGTCAAACAAAGAAAGGTCTTGATCGGTCGATACCCTTCGGTTACTTTGCGGCCAGTAAAAGCATCTTTTTTCCTCTTTTTTTCCGTGTCTTTAATGTGTAAGAAAATCTGTCAGACTGATACTCTGCTCTGGAATGCCAAATTTCTTTAGAATGTCTCTGTAAAAGGACACGGCTAAGAAGAAGCACCGCGTCAAGACTAATTACTCAGGACTTAAAAAAAGTGATTGACTGTCCTAACATTGATAAATTATTCGCTATTGCGAGAATGAATTAATTTATAGACGGGTAAGAAAAATGGTTGTGAAGTTTCACAGTACTCGAAAGACGTCTACGACTGAAATATGAAATAGTGATTATATGGCTAAATGAAAGCTGCAAGCTTTAATATTAAGAATCCGGTTGCCTGTATTATTTTAACTTTCTGCTTTTGATACTTGTAAAGTGAAATTCAGTTTAAAATACAATTGCATTCAAATATATATTTAGCAATTACGCGTTGCACAACTGTTGTAAGCCACACGTTATGCATGACAAGGAGGTTCAGATCTTTTAGAAGATGGTTTGCAAAAGGCAAAGTACGGTAGATAAATATACATGTTAGACTATGGGTAACTAGCTTTTTATCTACAAATATGTCGATACCCTCTTTGTAAAATCTGTAGTTTGAAAGAAAAAAAACATTACGTTCCCAATTGAAATGCTTTAAAAAAGAACAGTATGAATGAACAACAAATCTTTTATTATGCAGCTGTTTTGAATGAGCGCTCTTACAAGCCACATGTGTAAGTTGCTTCATTTTAGCATCATTCAACCTAGTTGGCACGTATTGTGAATTTGGATTGATAGTAGCAGACCCCAGGGAATGTTCACCCGAAGCCCACAGTGTATAATTTTCGAATGTATAATTGGCCTTTTGGATCTTTCAAAAGAAGAGCTCAGAAGAAGCTTTGCCCTCAGATGGCTTGCTCTTTGTGATGCGGTTTTCCGTAGTAAGCCACTGTGTGTAATTTTATCCACACTGCACTCTCATGCCTCACACAAGACTGATACCTTGCCTCCCTTCTCCTTTGTATCAATTGGTCGGAGTTCAGGCTATTGTTGCTGGAAGGTTCTTTTATTTCTATGTACTGTCGATCAACGAAATCTCACGATAGCCTCCTTGTGAAATTCGGTGCCTTTTTCGCAGAGGCAGTCTATTTGGAGAGCAAAGAGGACTCATGATCACCACCCAGTCTAATCCAAGCTCTTGTGACCGTGGTGGTCCTAATCAATGACTACTGGTTTACTAGATCATTGCAGATAAAAAGAAGAGATCGGGACAGATAAAGCTGGCAATGCGTCGTGGGCTGGATCAGTGCGCTTCGCCACTAAGACAGCGGCAAGCAGGACTTCTTTAATGGGACCCCATGTATCGTTTTTTTCTATTCTAGCAAGAAGACTAATATTTTCGGCCATGCCACAATGGTTATAATTCTGATTTTGTTGTTGCTGAGTTTCTTGGATCCCAGTAAGCAGGAATCTTTGTCCCCAAGGCTGGCCAGAACTCCGAGGACTCCTTGCGCCAAGGGCCGGTTGTGTGACCCAAGGCACCGTAGAGATGCTGGGGGACGCGGCGGAGTATATGAGCACCTCGGGGGAGCACCAAGACGCAGAAAGCTCTACTGTGCCACGAAGTATCATCTGCAAATACACCCCAACGGGAAAATAGACGGCTCTCTCGAAGAGAACAACCCATTTAGTAAGTGGATATTTATAAGTAACTGTTTTAACGCGTGCACGATATTACATTGACATTAAGTTGTGGTACTTATTTAAAATCGGAATATCATATGACTTGTTTTTATCAGTTTGTGACGCAGATTTTGGGGGTTTTAGTCTGTTTTTGAGCTGTCTGTTGATTTAGAGGTCTTACGGTTATCTACATAATTGCCATGCTTTGCGCATCAGTTTAACTGCAGTTGACCTATTTATGATACAAATGTCTGTCTAGCAGGCTGAACTTTTTGCTTTAACTTTATATTCATCTGCAAAATATTTATTTCAATTCAATAGCTTTGCACTCCAATAAATTAACAGCTGTTTGGACTGTTAAATATAATTTATGCATTTTAATCCATACAATATTCTCAGATAATAGTAAATCACTTGGACAATAAAATAAGCTTTTAATCACTACAGAGCGTGTTTAGCCCCTATATTCCAGAATTTAAACTAGTTTAACGTCATTAATTATGAGTGATATTTAAGCGTTTAAACATTAATAAGCGTTAAATATTTATGCACAAATCAAGCCATAATCTTGCAGCGCCGACTGGCTTTGTCATTGAAGTGACTGGTTAAGAATAGCAAAGCATGCCTGTTTTAATAATAACTTCAGAAGGGTAAAGTGGTTGAGCAACAATAGGTGACTCCACTGAACTGTCACTCTTGTTAGACAACCTCTGCAGTATTTGCAGGATTTATCCCAGCACGCGTCACTTCCCTTAAAAGCACGATGACAGAAAGCAGAGATAAAATAGGATACAGATTAAAAAAAAAACACCAAAAAGACCACCTTGTGGCTATTTTGTGTTCGTGAAGGAGTGCATATGGTGGCTATATTCCAGTCCACTTTTATTTTTAAATCAGTTTTTTTTTTCTCCTTTAAGGTTGTTGCACTAATCGAAGATGGCATTGTAATAAAGTTTCCCCAATAGGTTATTCCAAATGCTACACAACAGAAAAAACAGTTATTTGGTGAAAAATAAACAGTTTTCAGAGGATAATCCACCATTTGATGTTTATACCCCATTTAAAAAAGTAAAACGATCGATCCTTGAATTTCTGACCTCTTTTTTTACCATTTGCAGATACAAATGCGACATATCTAAAATACTGTGATTTTAAGGACGACGGTTTTGTTAAAATGTAGGTTTGTAAATTGCTATTAAAAGTCAAACGAATAATATGTACATCTACACGTTCTTTCTGTATTCTGTAAGGACCTGCTGGATCTCTTTCCACAATGTCCATAATGAAGGGCGTGTTCAAACAATATGTATGGAAAATCAACACGTTCGAGTTTAGTAATAAGTCTGAGCTAAAAATTAACATTGAAATCATCACGTCTCTGATTTTCAAATTAATGCTGTTGACTTTAATGACTGAAATTCTTTTAAAAATTAAAGCATATATATATACACACACTTCATGATATAAAAGGACTTCACTGAATTTCATCTGTCTGGACAAAAAAAAACAGGTCTGCCATCATGAAAGGATTTAAACTTTTTTACAGGATTAACCAAACCTGTAGTTCAGTGTCATTCAACGTTTCTTTGGATTTATGTTAAATCTCATTGACCTCTGTCAGGGTTTAATCCAACTCGTACTTCGAGGTCTCAATAAATCGTCGGAGACTTGATTCTTTGTAAAAGTCAAACGGGCACTTTTCCTAATTGCTTACGCATTGCTTATTCATTGAAGCAGTTAGTCGCAGCTGTAGTTTTCCAGTGGCCAGTCTACAGAGGGGTGAAAACATACACTACAATAATGACACCTACGTATATGTGGCTACTACTAATATTAAAAGGGTCTCAAACGGGTTACAATTCTAGATTTGTTTTTAGCTTCAACTGATTGTGTACCACGCTTAAATTAATAGTTTTAAACGTTCCTTTAAGATCTCAAGGAGTAAACTGGCTTTTCAAAAATATGGTCCCATTTACATTTAATACGCTTTTGTTGATGTACAGTATACAGTAACCATTTCCCACTTAAAGTGTCTGCATTGATATTCCATTCACTGAATTAATACAATGTTTTGACCTGTTTGTCTTCAGGCATATTAGAGATCACAGCCATTGATGTCGGAGTGGTGGCTATAAAGGGTCTATTTTCTGGTAGATATCTGGCCATGAACAAAAAAGGACGCCTTTATGCCTCGGTAAGTTACATCACATTTAAAAAGGAAAGCCTCAGATTAAAAGCACCGGGAGTTCGTGAGCTACAAGCACGCTATTTTTCCCCATGGGCTGAGAAAGTGAAAAATAGTTTTGTCCATCATAATAAAAGAATGCAAATTACACTCATTTGCAAGATTTCAGCACATAAGGTCTGTGATACATCTTGTTTTTTCAAGACAGAAAATGAGATCAGATTTCCAGCAGGGTTCTTTAAAGCTGTCATTATCAGTTGTAAGTAGGCCAAGAACTCAAAATACTAAGTGTCTAACTAAAACATTGAGTTTCTTTTAGTCCCATATGTATGTTCCACTAATTTGTCTTTTAAAAATTTTGTATTGATTACTAAAGAAGAAAACAGGTGTTTGATTATAAAAAAGCCAGTTGGCAGAAAAAATGTTATATATAGTCTGTAAATTGACCTTCATCCTACTGAATTAAGCCATTAAGATTTATTTAGAACCAAAAACTTTGTAATAAAACATTTCAATAGGATTTAAGTTATACCAGATCAAAGACCAATGAGAGAGAGGCTGAGGGAAAGGTTTTGATAAAATGCTTCTCCTAAGTGTAAGCTACAACGACTACTATTAATCTCAGACATATTTCGGACAACCTTATCATAAATTTCATAGCTGTTTATGCCACTCCTTAATTCTCTTTGAAAGTATTTGTCATACTTGAAAACAGTCTTTTCATGAAAATAAAAGTAGAAACATTGTGGACAAGTCATAACTCTTAATGAAATGTCATGTATTAGGTTTAGTTTGGTTGTTAATATTTCAATACACAGCTGAATTTGCTACTTACCCATTTGAAACAGAAATCCAATGGTATTTACGGGTCTGATACACAAAGTGAGAAATTGTATTCAAATGAGCTTCAAATCCTGTCAGTTCAGTAAGTATAATATGGAATTAGGGTCAGTATACCTAGAAAATATGCAAGCTAGAAAAGAGTTTATCGCTTTTTTAACTTAAAGATCATAAATCACAGGACTTCAACCATCCATGCTTTCATAGCATTCATTTGTGACAGAAAAGTAAAATATTAAAATGTGCATACATTATTTGTTCCTCAGGAGGTGTATAACCAAGACTGCGAGTTTGTGGAAAGAATCCATGAGTTGGGCTACAACACCTATGCATCTCGACACTACCGGACTGCACCACAGCTTTCAGAGGGCAAGCGCAGGGCCAGCGCAGAGAGACTCTGGTACGTGTCTATCAATGGGAAAGGGAGACCCAGAAGAGGCTTCAAAACCCGGAGAACGGAGAAGGCGTCGCTTTTTCTTCCTCGAGTGCTGGCAAACAAGGACCATGAACTGGTGCGGTTATTCCACTCGAATGTCAGATACAGGGAGAGTCTTCTGAGGCCAGACAGTCAGAACGAGCGAAGACGCCGCCGGCACAGAGTCCCCGTTTTTCAAGTCGCCGAATCTCTAGATTGAAGCTGCACTCCCGTAGCAGGATGTTGTAGGTAAAATACATCGCACAGACTTTCTAGAAGGTGCATAAGATTGTGGTTTAGAACAAAAACAACCTGAAGTACAGCATAAAAACCATATACCTTCCATTGGGAAGCACTGGTTGAAATCATATAGACTAATGATGAAGGTGTTTCACATGAATGGAAGGAAAAAAAAATCATTTCAACACTTTGGATGTACATTGTATAGATAAGTTAAAGTGACCAAAATCAACACTGCTGGACATTTTTCCTACTTTTCATCACATTAAAACCAGTTATTTACAGATTTTATCTGTACTATATTTGCAAAAAATGTCAAATAACTAATGTATATAACTGTACAGTAGTATTCTATATTCTTGTTTCAGTTAAGATCAGGTTCATTTGTATAAATAGTCCTTTTTAGAGTCTTACATAGACTTTTTTGCATCTGAAAAACTGCAGTAACTCATATAAAGTTAAATAAAGTCATCAAAAAGATGGGGCATAGTAAAGCACTTTTTTCTGATTTCTGAACAAAATTAGGAACAACAGCGATCAGAAAGTAACATATATTACTCCTAAGATGTGATAGTCTACTGTCTTAAAACTGCAGAAAGGTGACCTGCTATATTACTAATGTTATTCATATTTATTTAGTTAAATTACTCCTTAAATTATTGATGGAAGATCCTTATTCCACTTAACATTGTTCTTGAACTTCACACTGCTTTCAAAGAGACCAAGTCCTTCAATTTCACAAGGTGACCTCACAAATTTAAACTGTTAAAGGTACTTGTTTTTCCACCACTAACTGAAGTATGCCAAGGGATCCTATGAGCATGTAAAGTACATATTTGACATGCTGTGCCAACCTCTTCATGATGATTCAAATTCTCAGCACATTCTTAAATGCCTTCCAGATTTTGAGAACACTTTAAATTACCTGATCAACTTTCCCCAAAGATAGATATTGGGATGAGATTAGAAAATTAAAAACGATTTTTTTTAATGCTTTTAAAAAACTGTGTAAAAAGGTTAAGTTATTTCGTAAAGTGTCACCAATAAATGAAATCATAATATGCAAGCTGTCTCTCATTATTGAATTGGGATGGATGACCTTTGGTCTTCACAATTTTGGTAGGCCATGGTTTTGTCTTTCCATGTCTAATTTGTAGCACACATTTTTCTTGAAAACAAAAACATAAGAATTTCTTTGTTTCTCTGTGTGACTGTTATTCATTTCTAAAAAGTAAGAGTGGAGAAAACAGCACCCTCAGTGAATCTGATCCATCCTTCTCCGGGTAAAACCGGTATTATTGTAGGGTTGCTGAGTTACTGCTGTGAAATGAAGCATCTCTCTTGGGCCCATGAGTGCATTCTCTTTGTATCTACTGTACACCGTTTCAGGTGACATCACTCTTTTTAGAGAGAAGAGTAGTTTGGAATTTTGTCCCTAAAAAAACTTCAAGACCTCTAGTTTATTTTGGTTCTCCAAGGCAATATCAACATCAAGTTTGCAACTTTGTAAGATAGCAGCTATACCAACAACAAGGCCAGAGACAGGGTTGCAATGTGGAGAAAAAAAGTTATTTTATACTTCTGAAATCTGAAGGTTTGAGGGATCATAGGTGATAATAGCAATATCTCTAGGGAAATGTGGGAAGGCATGTTCCATGTTCTTCTATGGAGACAGACTTAGCCTAAAATGCAGTAAAAATGATTGTCCCTTCAAAAACAATCTCAAAGTGTTGAATAAAGTGGAAAATGTTTTTAAAAAATTATAAACCTTGCAAGAGATTGCAATTTTGTCTTAAAGCATTTCAAACAGGCTATGTATTTCTTCTAGGTCTGAAGTTAAATTGTTCATGCTAGTACTAGTTCTCTCATGTCTTGGGAGAGAAAAATGACTATTAATTGATTTATTAAGGATGGCTCCATTATGTACAAGACAAAAAAAGTGATCTACACTTCTTTACATTCAACAGTACGTGACGTTTTATCAGAAACAAAATGTTCAGAATAAGTAAAACAAGACTTCTCATCTTTGTTGTCTTTTTATGACTATTCAATACATTTACCTGAAGCCCATCATAGACTTCAGAGGAACCTACAGATTTTAGGTGTAGGACACCGAAACCATAATCCCAGAATAAATGTATTGATCATCTAAGGCTATAATGTGTCACTGCCCAGCTAGCGCTTAGAAGCAGACCAATTGTTTACTGTAAATTGATTTAAATATGTACTTAATGCAATCCATAATGTATTAAAAACCAAACGCATGATATGTCGGTTTTCCCTTAAGATCTATTTGCTTAGAAGAAGTTCCATGCCTGAAAATCCAGTCACCACTGCATACATCCATTCTTAGGTTTATTGTATTGTTTTGTTATGCGGGTTATTTTTCTATGTATTAATATGAAGATAGATCGTCTTTCATTTATTGTCAGAAGGGTATAACCCTGATGCTTGTAAATATATTTCATGTTTGTCGTTGGCACAGCAACTAATAGAAATTAACGTCATATGGACTTGTCTTCCTTGAGTCTTTACCACCGACACTGTCCAAGATAAAATATTGTCAGTAAGAGATAATGGACATGGAACATACACCTCATTTTGAATGTGGCTTTTCTGACTTACTGTCTAACGTTCAGAATGAGCTAAAGTAACTCGGGGGAATTAAGACAAATTATGCAAAGTGCGTTTAAGTATCCGGGTTTAACAATGACGTAAACCAATAACCACTTAAGATATGCTTCATGTATTTATTAATAAATAACATTTATTCCTTAAAGCAAGACCGATATCACATACTACAAAATATATCATAAACATGCGCAAGGCAAATTACAATCGGTATTCGAAAAGCGCTTTACGAAGGCTTTTCAGATTCAAAAGCTTCCGCATTTGTCATCGTTTACTCAATTACTAAACACACAAGCGCACACGTGTACCTCAAGAACAATGGATGGCGTGTGTAGACTGTGGATTTATATTATAAATTTCCACCTCGGTTTTTGACGCTAACTAGAATATCGACATTGACACATGACGCCCTTATTAGTTCAGTTGCATTGGACAGGTAAACAGAAGCACCGAGGTTAGAGTTCTGGGTCCTGATCAAGCACTTTGTGTTGACCTACAGCACAATGACGTGTGCGCAACCATGTCGAGGGGTCAGAAATGCTCATTAGCAGAGTTGTGAAACATTACCTCCCACCACAGCACAGCCACCCCTCTGAAGTCCAAGCAAGCTATCTTTTCTCATGACAACCTGCTGCCGAAAGCATCAGATTCCTAGTGGAAAGAGTCGAAAAGAAAACTGTACAAGAGAAGTCTGGTAAGCCCTTCCAAACTAAAGGCCTCAGCAAACCCATGTCTCCTGTTCACTTGTAGACAGTGCACCCTAGGGGCAGGAAGTCAGGAGCATTTATTTCTTATTTCTGCGTTTGCCGATGTATAATACACAGAACTTGATAAACAAAACGAAACACGAGTGTGTGCCGGGGCCAATTTTTGACGCTCCAGATATGTTAACTTAAAATTCACATTTCCACTTCTGCTGTAGCAAAAACAAAACATTAGGTCTGTTCCACAAAGACCAGGTTTAAAACAATGTTCTTTCAGGAGAAACATCTACAAAGTCTTGTGGAACCTATACATATCCTGCAAGTTACTCACTCTAACAAAAACAAAATAAAATATAAAGTTTCATTATGTCTGCCTGTGGTTATTAAAGTGTTTTGACTGCCTTTGTGCTTTTAATATTTTTGACTACGTTCTCAACAGCTGTGCCAGTGTTGTCTTTTTTTATTGTGCTTTGGCTGTTTAAGTGTGCATTCTGCAGCTAGACTGTATTAGATGGTATTGTCTCTCCTCATATCCTGTACGCTTGACTTGGCCTTGACTGAAGCTGTCAAGCTAACACGCAGTACTAAACTAAAACAATAAACAACAACAGCGGGAGTACAGTCAAGACATGGCTACACTGCACTGATGAACCCTAGTCATGACTTAACTGGTCTGTATTAAATAAATGTTTTGACTACTTTCAGACTATCCAAAAACATTAAAATCACCTCGTCCAGTTCAAATTTTCTGGCAAGACCCTGTACATGCACATGAAGCATATGACTTGAATGCCCTTTTTGTCCATGGACAAGTATGTTATCAGAGGCCAAGATGAGACCTTATGCACAACTCCAGGGTATTAATGAAAGATTGTCTAATTAAAGCTACTGCTATTCAGCTTCTCTCCATGCAGTCTCCCAGGCTTTTAGTGGCAAGCTCTCATTCCGTCCTAATTGGAGTAGTCAAGAATTCCCCCTGTACAAAACCTCTCTCCATACTGGAAACTCTTTGTCCAGTCTGTCATGGCAGTTTTATAATCTAGGGTCTGTCTCCATGAGTACACACGGAAAATAAAATGATGGTTTTAGGTCTTGACTTTTAAAACAAGCCGATGTGTGTTTGGTTTTGAAACGTTAAGACAATTAAAACTAATCTTAACTGATTCCTTCATACAATATCTATACCCAATAAAATGTAAGCTGAAGCATACATTGTTTTATAGCATCAAAATATTGGTTAAGAAAATAATGAGAATGCATAAAACTACCAGCAATGTGGATCCTTGAGGAAAAAAAAATCTTTCCAGAGTATCTGAAAATCTCAGATCAGTAGTTTATAGTTTTTACTACAGCTAATATAATTTGGGTATTTAAATCCATTACGTCAAACTACATTTGATCTTTAGGGTTTATGACAAAGACGATTCAGTTTTATATATAATAATTATTCAGGTCTCTGAATGTCCTATAGAGGGCAGCCTGTGAAATCTGATCTCGCAGGTGCATGGCAGAAGGACCCGAAAAGCAGCCGAGATTCAATAGCTGACATCGTTTATACTGCCTTTCTGCACAGCAATCGTACCACGCTGTACCTGGTACTGATTTTTACTTTTATAAAGCAAATTTGTTGTTTTTCTTTCGCCCTTGACATTTTATTTAATTTCCCCTATGTTGCCCGTGATAATTCCCGTCACCAGAATTACACAAGAATTCACTACACATGTCTTATGATAAAGAGTAACGTTAGTCTTAAAAACCTCGACACTACTCAAGCCTAATTAAAGTTTTGGAGAGTTGAGCCTGTCAGTTAAATGAATGGTCTTGAGGCATCATAGACAGTTGCTGATTGCTTTCCAACTCATCTTATTTTGAGTGTGTGAGGAGTGAAGTTCAGACAATGGTAAGTATCCTCATTATGCTGTCTAATAATGACTTACTACGCTATTATACACTGATTTGAATCAGCATGAGCCGACCAATGGTAAATACCGCACAGGCGGCAGTGTGAAGTAATCAAGGTTCTAGACTATCTAGGACATAACTAGAAAGTTATAGGTCCGAAACGCTGGATGAAGACGGCTTTTCTACTCTTAATCGAAGTACTTAAATAAAAATGCTTCAGTAAAACACCCCAGCTGTACGAATATAAGTATCTTTTAATAAAAGCGTAACCCCGATAATTCGGTATTTTTCTTAAACACAGTACTTGCACTTGACTTCAAAGAGTTGTAATTAAAAATCAAAATGATCTTTATGAATAAGCGAATAACCAAAATTCAGGGTAATGTCACTGGGTTCAGTAAACGACTGTTAAAATATCTGTTTAAAATAAATTTACAACACCTACAGTATGCAAACGTGTGTGGTCACACACTTATCTTATTAACTGTTATAGGTTTAGGTAGAGTCATTCTTGAAAGCAATCTATTTTAGGGTTACCTGATTCTTCGTCATTTGAAGTAATAATCAGAATAGGGATTGCAAAACTCTAGGACATTTGCAAATGATAAATGACAAAATCAGTAGATATTGATGAAAATAAACATCGCAGGTTTATTCCCAAAATACATTTATTCGACAGAAAAAAATTACAGCACCATGGATAGCGGTCTAGGGGGATTAAGCCAGATTCAAAATAACTTCAATTGGAATAAGACTCCGAGTGGTAGGGATATAATGAAAACGAGGGTAAATTTCAATTGAATATCAAGCTCTACAGATTTTCAATTCCAGGAAAATAGTCTAATGGTACTTAAGAGGGAAAAAGAGATAGTTAAGACTTATAGGGTGTTGGCTTTATTGACAGATTGTGATTCAGAATACTATTAAAGGTCTATTTAAATTGGAAACCATAATCTCCCGGAGATCCAGATAGTTTCTTATCGATATTGTGGAGATAGCACTAGTAAAAACGCTTTGGATGTACTTCAAAGATTTAACATTTTCAAGGCGTGTGCTACATTAACGTCCACGGCCTATAATGAACGTGATGAAACGAACGAAAAAAATAGTTCGTTTAAAAAACCTGAATAAATTGATTGAAAAGGTTAACATTTAACAACATTTATTACCAAGGATAAATGGTTAATCATTCGTTAGGTTTAAAAATAATTTTAATGAAAAAGTAAAACTTACCACAATTAAAAACTTTTAATATAGTATCACAACACAGGGCGTTCACGTCACCTCAAATTGTATTGTAATTCAAAACGAAAATGTATGATTTGGCATTTTGTGATGTTTTATAGCAATAAACACGCCTTAAAACACCAGGAAACGAAAAGATGGTTCCATACAACCATACTAAAATTAATCATTTACACAACGAATCGTTATCATAGTTAACTTCATATAGTCAAGAAATCAATAAAAAAACGAATTAAACAACAAGATGATTCATTTGTAAGTATACCCTTTTATAAACATTGAGTTCCTTCCTAACTACGTATTTAATTGTTTACATTTTTCACTTTAATATACCGGTTCATGTACATAGAATAAAATCCATATTTTACAGACTCCCTGCAATTTCTACTACATTATCGTCTTGCATTGTTTTCTAGCCCACTACCACAAAGTTTCCCATTGAAGAATTTGTTACCATAAAAACTAATCGTTATTTTGAACGTCAAGCATAGAACTACATAAAATAGTGTCGCCATCGTTAGTGATTACACTGAGCTGCATACATTTCTCACTTTTCGCGAAATAGTACGCCCAGAAAAAAAACACTCCACCATTTTAATTTTTACAAAACACCGTCAGATGCAGGTATTTAATTACTTTGTATTTAATCCAAACCTGTCGTCCACTTGAATGATTGACAGTACCATTAGCTCCGCTAAATTGAAATGAAAATATACAGATTCAACATACTAACATTTTATGTATAGAAATACTGTAAAACATTCAGACTGCAATATCCTTATTTTGGATTGATCAAGGTTTATGAATGTGTAATAGGCCACCAGCACCATCAATATCTTATCAGTGATTGCATTCAGCTATCTTATTGTTGTTTTGATTTTGAAATATCTATTTCGAAATGTTTCTGTATTATGTATGCAACGTCATTTTCTTTCGTCAGAAGTCGAGAATAATGGATTGTTCCCAATTAGAAATATAAAGTATTTACTATTATTCAAATTGATATATTAATTATCAACTACCAAAAAGCGCACCGTATGAAAAAATCCAAATGAAAAACCATGCTTTTAAGCTAACAGTAACTTCGCGTACTTATGTTTCCAATATGTGGTCTTCTACAATTGACATGTTGTTCGGTTGATGTTTTTCTCCACTGATAAGGAGATGTTATAAGAAATATTTAAATATTGTCTGCTATCAAATAAATTACCTCATAGTGAGTTGTGTCTTCAGAAACAGACAAGGATTCACATGGTTATGAGTAATTAAAATGAACAGATAAATGGACAGTCTTGTGTCACCTATGCTACCAATGCAAACTAACTGTCAAAATATTTTGAGACCTATCCCTTGGATTGGGTTATTGGATGATCCCTATTGTAACCAGCTACTCTGATCTTCTTTGGTCTTTGCAACATTTGTCATCAGAACACTGAGCGTTACAATAGGAGGTTTTGATCTGCGCTAACACTTACAACTAGATACAAGCAGAGGTCTACCACGAGGAACACACAGAGATCAAATACACCGACAAAAAAAAAAGACATGGCTTGTGTGCCGATGTCTCGTCAGCTCGCAGCACTTAGTGAACCATCGGACCCTATCATCTAGGGGTCGCCCAGCTACAGCTCAAGTTATTCGGGGTACTGTTTCTAGATCTGACGACATTCTTTGCCCCCATCTGCACCGTGCTAAAAAGAAGTGGGTTTATATAGAGAACCAACCAGACGTGAACGTGAGAAAACGTTTTCATGCGAATCTTCCGCTCAGTGACTAACTTTTCTTTCTAATAATTGCGTATCTGTGTTTGCTTGGGGGTAGTTAGATTGATAGGCTATATGAAAACTTTTTCAAACTGAGCATTATTTGAGAATAGGATAGCCCGTAAGTGACAGATCAAAGAAATGCAGTTGCATATGTGACCGTAGATTGAATAGGGTTTATATCCAGAATCAGTTAATGACATTGTATTTAGAATATGCACACCACCAGAGTGCTTTCATTTACAAGATACATGTTGTTGTACGGGAAGAACAAGAGGATTATTTGGATGCACTCGTCAATCATTTACTATACAAGTTCTGCCTTCGAGACGCTTCCAAAACTACATGTTTGAACTGAAATTCCATAATTAAAATGGTTCGACAGTGAGTCGAAGACATAGTGAGTCAACATTTGGCTTGGCTTTTCTTACTCACATTTTGGTTATTATAATTCTTATATATATATATGGGTCTTCCAAAAACCCTGTCTCGACAGAATACGGATTTGAATTCCAAGGTTAGCTAAAATTACCAATGTTTGCTGGTGAATCACTTTTGCAATTATAGAATGACTCCACGCAAGAATTCTTTACAAGACCACCCTCTTGAGACACCTCCTTGAGATTGTGACCATTGCACTAAGACAGGAGATAAACTTGTTTTTTTCGTAATACATGTTTGAATATAAGAATAAGGTTTCAAACAAGATGAAGCCATTCAGCCTGTTTGGTAGCAGTTAGCTGATCCAAGGATCTTATCATGCCGATCCTTGAAAAAGGCCAGAGCGTCAACAGCATGGCTGATCAGCTTGTCCCATACTCCTACTACCTTTGGTGTAAAGAAGTGCCACCTGTTCTCAGTTTGACATGCACTGCGATATGGTTTCTACTTGTACCTTCTGTTTTGAAGAAATCCGACGGGTTGACTTTGAGGATATTGAATACTTAGACCAGGTCCCTTCGTAGTCTTCTCTGTTCAAGAGAAACGTAATATTAAACTAGGAATGCTTTGAAAATTGGTACATTGTAAGTGCGCTCCATACCAGAAATTGCCCCCCAATACGATAAACTGACAACTTGTCTCTTAACACGTGCATTTCCAACAGGCTAGAGCCAGCAGTCCTTTCACTGAATTCCTAGTTATTCTGCACAAGGTCAAAAGCCACACCATTATCTCTTCCTAGCAGGCATCTTACTAATAATGAGCAGGTGCCAAAATCACCGTAAGCAACACCCTGGCATGTATTTAATTGTTAAAATAACAGACAATAAGCGGTTTGTGGGCGAATCGTGCTTTTTCTATATGCAAGTATAACATACTTCCTTTGATATAGGTCTGGTAATTCTCTCTTTCACGAGTTAAACAGATCTGCCTTGCTGCGCTGAAACAATATTATTATATTCGATTACACGTCTTTCAGGAAGGTCAGTAGTTTTCGCACCTAAGTGAGCTTTAACTTTGCCTGAGGCCATTCTGTTTTACGTTGCATCCTATACCAGATCAGCGGGGGCTCTGCACGACTGGAACCGGCCAAAACTACCTCAAGCTATAGAGACCCTGAGTCATGGTCAGACACCACTTCATGCGTTACTCCAATAGTTCTTACCGATGATCTAGTGACGCACACGCACCACAAGCGCAAACTCACTCCGCAGCAATGATTAAAAGTGAATATGTACTCGCTGTAAAATCATAACAGTTATATAAAAGACTTATTTACGGGTTTATTCCTCATGGAACAAAATACAATGGTAAAAAAATTGAAATTCAACTTTAAGGCTTTAATGTTTTCGTATCGCGGTTTAACAGGATACTTTCAACACCTTTGCTAATCGGTTTTGTTGGCAACACAAAGTGCTAAATATTAATCACAGCTGAGTTGCTTAGAAGTGTACCAGTGAGAATGTTGATCACTACGGACATGCACTTATCATGCTTTTAAAAGTTTTATTTCCCATTCACATTGTTCTGTGCTGGTCAACGGTTTTTTTTAATCTTTGTCTAAAAGTAGCTTTTACAATACTTAGAAAATGACTTTTGTTTTTTCCTGTTATTGTTCATTTATAGAACTGTCTCCTGTACGACATTTCAGACTGTTAGCTTTGTAATTTCCTATTTTACATCCTCCCATACATAAATTATTTTATTTTTGGCTTATAATGAAGGAAGCTTTATACAAAGAAAACTCTATACTATGTTGCCAGGGCACTTCTGTAATCTAAATTCCACAGACTTTGACAAAGTCTGACTTTGTGTTGAACGCTGACATTAATTTCACGCACAATCCAGTATACATTAGCATTTGCAAGCGAGTGTTTGTTTTTTATCTGATCAAGTTAAAACTTGTCATTTGCTCCAAGTTTTTCCCTTACCACTGTCGCTAAATCGTATGAGCATACACTGAAAGAATCTACTCTTAGGAGCATCCGTGGGTGACGATCGTGTTAAAGTGAATTGAAAGCTTCAGTAGGTGGCGTGATGTAATCGAAGCAGATATAAATATCGTCAGTGAGGGGAACGGCGGCATGGCTGAGCTGTGCTGGTGTAGCCGATCAACACTTCGTAACTTCTCTTGAGTCAAAACCAACTTGGGATCAAGTTCGAATAAACTTCCAGAGAATCAACTTCCATTTAGAAAGCAGACTCCATGCAGCATCAAATGGAAAGTCGCAGCTTCGTTTGGAAGTGAGCGTTTGCGTTCACCTTTTTTTTCTTTTTTTTCCCCTTTGACCTAAGAATACATCGGAGAGAGAAGCAGAGGTATTTTTAGTGCATTTGACTCCTTCAAACACGTGTGCCCATGTTGATCAGGATGACCATTCAATCAGCCTTATTGCCTATCTTGGTCTTAGGACTGGTGTCTAGTTTGGTGCGCTGCGCTCCCTTTCCTAACCGGCAGAACGGCACCCTGGAGCGCCACTGGGAGACCCTTTTCTCTCGCTCCTTGGCTCGAATCCCCGGGGAAAGACGGGAGATCAATCGGGACAGTGACTACCTTATGGGCATCAAAAGGCTGCGGCGTCTTTACTGCAACGTGGGCATCGGGTTTCATATTCAAGTCTTGCCCGATGGAAAGATAACTGGAGTGCACAACGAAAATCGATATAGTAAGTAACTTTTATTTCATACGGACTTGCTAGGTGACTTATGTCAGCCCTACCAATATAAAATTGTCCCGCAGCTGGCATTATGCTCCTTGTAAGAAGACGTCATCAAATACAGCCGACACCAAAGAAAGTCTAGCGGATATAATATGTATATATTGCATATACTGTACATAGAGGGAGATACGAATACACTTGTCTGTACTTTTATTTGACATTTGCTGCGAGCTACCAAGGGCTGCGTTGTTTACTACGTAAATTACCACTTCTATATCAAATCTTCCTAAAACACGGATCTTTAACTTTAAACATCAGAACACAAAGTAAATCAAGTATTTTCCGTGTTCCCTACGTTTCGGCGTGACAAGCTGTCACGCATGTGTAGTTTCAGGTTCAGTTAGTTAATCCATTATATATATCGTAGCCTAATTACCGACAATTACAGGATGTACGAGCTGAGGACATGTTATTAAAGGGCGTGAGGTCCCGATAAATGCACCGGGCCTATTAGGCTTCCTTTTTGAGGAAGATGAATGGATTCTTTAGTATTTCACGAATTAGCTGCGGGACACAGTTTTAATGCTTTGAGGCGTAGCTTTAGTGGACTTGTGTACGGCCTCGAAGACGGTGCTAATCATCCGCTTGCTTGAGCAATTTGAGCGGCTTCTTTTTTGAATCAAAAATGCTCAGAGCAATATTTTCTGATGTCAGAAAGAATCAGGTGTTCATGCATGCCAACATCTGGAGGCTCACAGAAACATTTGAAGGTTTTTCGCAACAGGTTTTCTGTAATAACTAACCTGGTATTCACAAACCATGTCAATGTCTAATGCCAGTCCTAAAGTTAGGAACGACAGAAGAGCATCTGTTACGGAGGGCGTTAACCCTTTGGCCCCACACGTCTAATTAATATCCTTCCCCGACAAAAGAATATTTGGGGAAGCATGCTGACATCTCGGATAAAAAAAAAACATAACTGAGATGGTTCACGGGAGCATCCGTACTAAAACAGATTCCATTCAGCTTAATAAAAGAAGAACCATAAAATACTGTCGCTCCCATGTCGTGGCTGTTTTGTGATATGACTTTTCTGAGCGACAAGGAGTATTGCTTTCGGATTTAAAAGAATGTAGTGGACCGTCAAGCACATTGCTTGACGATAAAATAAGAGAAATACGACAAGATCAGTTTGATTTATTAAACTAGTGACTGTAATTTAGGCAAACAGGTTTTGTTCTATTAAAAAGCTATTTTTTTTGTTATTTTGACGTACGTTAAACAGATAACACAAAACGCCAGAAAAGATGCTAGATTCAAATGTAGCCTACAGACACTGTCTTATCGCATTATGCAAGTCTCTCGCTATGATACCTGGCACAGTAGTATAAAGGCAAGGGATAACACCCGAAACAACTGAGGTAGTAGCCTTAAAGTCCCGTGACTTTAAGACACTTTTTACGACGACTAACATCACCTCTGACTAGTTATAAATGACCTATCTCTGAAATATAAACACATACAGAACTTTACACATTAAATAGTAAAATAGTCTTCTAAACAGTTCCCCTCAGATAAGATAGATAAACATTACACTCTGATTGTTCTATCAATTTCAGGTCTCCTTGAAATTTCCCCTGTGGAAAGAGGTGTTGTGACACTCTTTGGCGTTCGAAGTGGTCTATTTGTGGCCATGAATAGCAAAGGGAAGCTGTATGGATCTGTAAGTACAACAAAAAGATTTATGGGTGACTTCCGCTGTAGATGTCTTATCAGTGCCTGATGACAAATTCTCCTGTACTTGAGTTGTGCTATCCCCTTAGAAAGCCCCTCTGCATCACATTGTTAAGAGCAGCCACTGCATGCTTCTAGTTCTTTGCCTTGTTTTCATTGTAAGGCGGATAAACCAAGGAACGGCAGTGCAGTAGATCATTTGGCCTGCACATTCCATTCTTTGCATTGCCAGCCAGCACATGTACCTACTGTCTTCCACCGTGTAAAGCTAAATTGATCAACTTGGACCACCCAGACTGCGTGGCCAGGTCATAAACACTGGACCTTCAGTTGTTCCCCCAGGTATTTACAAATGTCCCTTCATTACAGGCAGTTACAATGACGAATAAAAAGTCATTGCAGGATCCAAATCCAGAATAGCAACTTGCATTTATATACTGCGTTTCATCTCAAAAGGATGCCCAAAGCACTTTACCTATCAGAGGGGACTTACTTCATCCACCAGTGAAGTGCAGCTCCCCACTTGGGTGACGGGGCGTAAACTATTTTGATCCAGCCGCTTCACAGCTGATCAGACTGCAGACAGAACCTCCCACAGCCCAGTGTCCCCTATCAGCGTGCAGGGACATGGGTGTGGAAACTAGTCCAGAAGGAATAGTGCCACCTACTGCTCTACCAACAGTACTCAATCAATAGCAGCAAAACTTCAATCTTGCTCGAGCATATTCTGAAATAAAAAAACGAAGGGACAATGGTACTTGAATTAGCAGGAGTATTCTAATGTTATATAGTATATTTCTGTACACGTTGTATCCCATCTCTCTCATTGTATTTAACCTGTGCATCCTGGTGTCTATGAGTGTTCATCTGTTCTATGTACTCCCAGTACCACAAAGACTGTTAACATGTAGTCAGAGATTGCATGCAGTTTGTGAAAATCTGTCTTTCACAAATGGAGGGAGGGAATGTTTTGATGCTGTTCAAAAACTTGGGAAGTACTAGGAATAGACAATGAGTTAATAAACTCAACAGTGCATAGGCTACGCCAATAATCAACCTATCAGTCCGCTGTAAAAATATATTCTTTTTGCAGCAAAGAGGCCTGAGGAAATAAGGCTGTTAAAAGATATTGATATGTTTTATTGAAAATGCTATGATGAGATAAGAACTCAACAATGATGAACATTACCATAAAAACGGGTTGCTAAGGTATTAATTCCAATTCTTATTACTGGTATTAATATAAAATATCATCTTGAACATGGTAACTTTTTTAATCAACACAGGAAGGATAAAATGATCAGCTTTTCACCTTTGTAAATGATGCACTGTAAACAAATACTTGGTGTTAACTATTTCTTCCCTCTCTTTGTTTTAGAGTCATTTCAACGACGAGTGCAAGTTTAAGGAACAGCTCCTTGCTAATAACTACAATGCTTATGAGTCCGGAGCATATCCAGGAATGTATATAGCACTGAGCAAAAACGGCAAAACAAAAAAAGGAAACCGGGTTTCTCCAATAATGACAGTAACACATTTTTTGCCCAGAATCTGAGTGATCCAGCGTGATTGGATTGGGGGCACAAAACGATGCACTTTTAAATGGTAACGTTTTATGCAAGAGTAGGTGTATCATATTTTATTTAAGTATGTATATATTGTGGGAAAAATATTTATAATTCTCATGAATTTTATATATTTCTGAGAAACACCTTCAAATCACGGGACAAACAAAAATAAAACTACTGGTTTATTTAACGTTTTTATTTATTTTCACTGGTGTGCTGCTATAATGTGTTTGGATAAGTGAAATTCCTTTATTTACAATGAGTTTTCTTTTGCACTGTTTATAAATGCGATTGTAAAGTGACAGTATAGAAGTTTTTTTTTTCTTTTTGAAAGAAAGGCGTCTTAAGTCTTAGGCCTTAGTCGTAACTTGTGAAAATGTATCAATCCTGATAGTGTGGCAAGCTGAAGCAATCGTACAATGTCTGACCTCCTTTGTGCAGTGTTGGTATTTAATTGAAACAGTATCGGTTTACTTCTGGTACAGAAAGTGCAGTGTTGAAGTCCTACCCCACAAATCTGTTTTTAGCTCCGCTAGGGCTGAACTTTGAACTTTTCTGCAGTCAATCTTTGTCAGATCTATAAGGCATCGGATAGTGAGGCATCTTTTCACCATTATGTAAGCTGAGAGTTTTAAAGTTACAACGCAGATAAAAAATGAGCAAATTTGCACAGTAAGTGTTCAATTAATGTGTTATAACCTAAATTTAGTTTTTCCCTCCAGATTTTTCGTGTTTCAATCCCCTGTCTGCAGCAATGAAGAAGGATAAACGGTGCTGAAGGATAAAGGCCTTTATCAGTTTTGGTTATTGCTTGTGTGTAGCGAGCGTCAGTATTATTTTAGACGAAGCTTCAGAAATAAAACTAATGAAAGAAAAATCAAAGTTGCAAGAAACAAACGAATTCCCACCGAGAATATCAAATACACGTCTCCGCGCAGTATTTTGGAGGAGAAACACGCTGCTTTTTTCCATTCCCGTTTTTTTTTTGCTTTTTGTTCTACCTCATAACACTCGCAAACAATGTCTCCTTACAAATACTGCTTGAGAGGAAGTTATAACACGCATCTACCATACACTGTTCAGTTAATTTCTTCTAAATAACAGATCTTTATACACTGTCCTTCTATATGCAGCCAAAAGTATCCAGGCGTCCATTGCGTCCTAGTTGAGCCTTGTCACGTTTGAGCTATCTTTACCCTGTGATTTACTTTTAGTAAGGATAATCATGGTGAAAATATTTGCAGACAGCTGTTAGACTGCACTATATGGTCATCCAGTAACCCTATATTTTTTTCTTTATATATTTTGCAAATATAACTCATGGTAGCCAGAGAAAAAACAGACAAGTTACTTTACGGTTTGAACTCGGAAAATTGGAGAAAAAAAAAAGCTCTCTGGGATATGCTAGTCACCATCTGTTCCAGGAACGAAGACAAGAGAATGAAAACACTGGCACTGCTATGAAGTAAGCCAATATATGTTAGCATGTTGGAATCACTACCGTTAACCCTTCCAAAATACAGGGACTTTGAAGTACATATTTAACATTCCTTTTACCCACTGTTCTCAGCTGCACAAACTGTAACTCTGTAATAAGTGCTGAAAATACACAGTATATCATCAGCAAACAGCGCATGCATCAGGACCAGACTTCTACTTCTTTATCTGTGTTTGCAATTAGCAGCATAATAAGTGTGAGGTGCATTGTTCTCAGTAATTATTCAATGTTTTGTACTGTTATTGCTTTCATTTTTGTATTGCAAGTTCATGTATCCTTCCCACCTGAATGCATAAAGTAACAGTTTAAATATGAAAACATACTGCAGGTAAAATGATAAAGATCAAGTGTAAATTGAAAGTTATTATATCCAGTGGCTGTTCACTTCTTTAAACTTTATTTCCACTGTAGCAGCCATTGCTTACAAAAGGCAATATCTTCCTATTTCAGATTAACCAGTATGTAGAGGCAAATTCCAAGCCATCATTTGACTTTTATGCAACTAAAACAATAATAATTTAATGATTAAATCAGTTAACATTTTTGCCTATTTACTTAATAAGGAAATATTACCTCCATTATAAAGCGAAAAAGACAAAATTGTTGTACATTAAAATGGGAAAGTGTCCAAGACCTAGAAATAGTTTAGCTTTTAGTTGCAAGGTCTATAACTTCATTGATTATGTGAGTGAAGTAAATAGACCTCACTAATTTTCTAGCATTGCTCATGCATATTTTTGGTAACAAAACCCTCTTTTAAAGTCATACAGTCTTTGTTTATGCATTCAGGTGCAGGCTTCATAGCAATAGGAGATAGTAGAAAGACTGAATACTGTGTTCATGTGGTATGTATTTAATGTGTATACATTTACCAAAATTTGTCTGTAGTTTTATACAGGTCTGTTTAATATTGTGGTGTATGTGCTGTGCACATTTTAAAAATAACTCAGAAGTAAATAAACCATGTTCTGTAAAACTATCCCTAGTGCTACTGAGTTATTGCAAGATTGATATATTAAAACAAAACAATTTACACAGATCACTTGGTATTTTCTGATTGTGTCTTCCAATCTGGAGGAAAGTGATATATTCAAAATAATGGGTATACGTTGAATTTTCACCACTGATAACCACTTTCATTCCTTCTTTAGTTTAGTACACATTTAGCAGAATTTTGCAGATTACTACAAATATGACTTATGAAACTCCAAACTAAAGTACTTCAAGTTGTGAGAACAATTCATTATGTTTTTTACTCTATTATAATCTAATGAGACAAATTCTGAATGCCACACACAAGAGAAAACAACCTGTGGGGTGAGCTTTTTTGTAATGATGACTAATAAGGATATAGTTCAGACTTAAATCTTTGTGACACTTAACGTTGTCACACAAACTAATAGGATTTCCAAATCTTTATAGACCGTCTATGCCAGTATTAGTACTCTCAGTCTCATGTCTAAGTGAAAATACTTTTGGCAACATAGCATTTCATTGTTTGCTGCAGGCAATTTTGATCTAACTGAATAACATGTAATTCATGTATTTGCCATCAAAATGAATATGAAGTATCTGGAACAATATATTGATCAATGTAACTTATAGTGACCTACACTTTCCTGTATTAATATTACATGCGAGAAAAAAAAAAACATCAGCAAAGCCAGGTGTAAAGATGGCTACAAACACCCAAAGTTGCAAAAGTTCAAGTTGCTCTTTAGTGGTGAAGCAGTGAAAATCCCTTTAGTAAATTGGTTATGTAAAGTAGGTCAAACACAGTTAAATTGCTTCTGTGATATTGCTGACAAAGTGTGAATTAGGTACATAGCAATAGTAAATACAAGTCTGATGCTATGGGAGGAAACTGGGCTAACTTGTTTGAAATATTTACTTCAGAGTGACTTTTTGTGTTTACAACACCAGTCATCTCTATGGATTAGATCTGCAAAGTTAGTTATCCAATTAGTTAAGACTTCATTTGCAAGGAAGGTAGTGACAAATACTTTAGCCTTTTAAGTGCCGTGCTAAGCAAAGCTACAGTTTTGAATTTCACAGGACCCCAAAGGAACAAAGAGAATAGTAACATCTGATTAAACCACATTTTTTTGCATTAGGGATATCTTCCATAAACTTCCTTTTGATGTTTTCTTATATTATTAATCACATTCAGAGAAAAAGAATAAACATTTGCTTGTAGGAACCTAACCAGAAAGTATGACTCAGACGTTTCTGAAGCAGATACATGTAAAAGTTACTAGATATTTCACATGTCTAGACTTCTCTCGCATCTTTGTTTCTCTTAACCATTTTGAGGAGCGTCTTACTCCCTTCCTTCTGGATCTATCCCAGAGGAAAACAAACTAACATTAAAGTAAAACGAGAAGAAGAAAGGTTCATAAAACCATAAAAAGTTGAAAGTCAGAATCTGCTACTTTCTTGCTTTAATGCATATATATTAAATCAATTTCAGATACATCTATAGCATAATACCTGTGTGTGTTTATATGAAAATATTTTAAAAAGTTTACCAATACTGGTAACTTGGAAATCTTTATTCACTTCTGGTGTTATTAGGTTACATTAAATAGACTCACCTGACCCCCTGCATATTCTGAATTGGCCTTTCAAGATCTGAAATATACAAAGACTTCAAGGAACTAGACAACTCAGGAAATTGTCAACTATGCATTTGTTAACATAAAGGGTATTGGTAGTGATTGCCTTTAGTACAAAGGTGTCATAGGTAAACAAGTATCACAGCAGGAAAAGATGCTAGATTTCACACATGATTTGTTCTCCACTCACTTAACTGTGTCAAAGCAGAGCAAGCATTCGATACTCAACACCTTCTACTAACAGATGCACTGGCACTTGTGAATATGCATCTAAATACAGCATGTCAGTTTTAGAAGGACAATTCTATGTCACAAGACATTCCCACATTTCTTTTAGTGAGGAACTCAGGTGTAAAATGAAGGTGGACAGGAAGGTTCATAACCCCACTTTATCTAGTCTTGATCAACTAACCATGACTAAACCCAACAAGCGTAATAGGATAACATTTGATGCAAGGAAGGATAACACTGGATTCCTTTACACATACATCAATTGGAAACTCATCAGAAATAAATTAGTGTCCTGTTGTTTTCCCATTTGGAAAGATAAAGCAGTACAATAAAAATAAGAGCCAGCTATGTGAGAACTGAACCAAAACACAAAAACATCCATCCAACTGCTTCATCCAGTTCAGGGTCACAGGAGACCCGGAGCCTGTCCCAGCAAGCAACAGGTAAAAGCAGGTTGCATCCTGTATTGGTCATCAGTCTATTGCAGGGCACAGACATGCACATACTCACAACAGGGCCAATTTTCTCAGAAGCAAATAAACCTACTGTACCTGTACGCCTTTGGACTGTGGAAGGAGAACAAGACCACCATGCAGAAACCAATGTGAACAAGGGGGAAACATAGAATCTCCACAAAGCCAACACGCATGGGATTGAACCCAGGCCCCCAGCATTGGGAGGCAAAACTACTAACTACTGTGCCACCTCAACGCAAAGAAAACAGTATAAATTCCTTTTCATACAATGATTGTTTAGTCTTACAGGTTAATTTTTACTGTTTTTTAAATTATTTTTCCGAAATCTGCATTCTATTACTTTGAAATCTCAGGACTTTAAAAAAGAAGCAAAGATACAGAAAACAGCACAGCTGCAAACATATAGCCTATTACCTTTGAAATGCATGCATTTTAATTTGCATTCCCCAGCTTAAACTGTGAAGCCAATTTAAGTATTCACGGCTTCATAGTGGAAACACAACACTCCATGGTCACTGCACCTAAACTATTATGCCTTGGATTACAGATTTTGGTTCTTTATCCCATCTGCAAACAGGCACGCTCACTAAGACATTAACACTAATGAGACAAGATCTATACTGGAAGCAGATCACTGCAGGACAAAGCTTATCCATGGACTGGCTAGCCTAAAGAAACAAAGACAAGCCTAAAAGACCATTTATACACCACAGACAGAGGCACAATTGGTAGCACTTCACGTTTCTTTAAATTCCCCTCAATGATAATTTAACTTTCAATTGAATTAAATTACAATGCTGTTCTTGAGTATGATTCTCAACACATGTTTCAAACGTTTATCGTTTATCGAGTGAAAAATGGCAGAAAAAAAGATTTACTTGGTTTTGAACAAGCAGCTGTTTTGTGAATATACATTTGATGTAACGGCATAATCTTTTTGTAATACAATAATTAAGATAACACGTTAATCATGCTCATGTGATAACATTTAAACTTTTTAATAAAGGTGTATTGTAGAAAGACTGAATCTGTGCAGAAAGACAAAAGCAATACATTTGCCTAATGTGCCGCCTGTTGCCGTGTCAAATACAGCAAAATTATTGTTACACGATACCGGAGTCTGTAGAACTGAAAAAACAAATGTTTTGAGTTGAATGCAGTGGCATTCACGCTAGATTGGGGTCTACACGATCTGTATCCGTAAAAGCCCACCATGAACACTACTCGCACTTCATTAGAAACTGTGAATCAGATTATAAAGAAAAACAACGTGTCAAACGGAGCTGCTCGCCTCAAAGCATGCTGCATATGAACGAGCACAGCTGAAGACCGTGCGATAAGTAAACTTCAGACATGGGCTAATAACAGGAAACTGTTTGCATCCGGAAAAAGGGAAACTCCTTTTATAATTCTAATGTGTACGTTTAGCGAGTTCAGGACACGCATGTCTCGTTACCTCCATGGATAGCAACACGTTTGAATACGACCCGCGGAACGCCGCCGCTGCTTTGCATGCTTGGCGACTCGCTTTGCTTCTCAGTGTCCCTCTCCAGGCAGATCGTGTAACACAGACGGGTCCAGCTTTTGTGTGGTTTACCTTTGTCGCAACAAACAGCAGGGCAAGATGTGCCGGTACTCCTGCAATGTGTTTTTAGAGAGAAGCCAGGTGCTCAGGAGCTCACGCTTAAAATAATAATATTCTGAGTAGTGTAATTTGCGCAGTCCTATTTCGACATTACAAGCTTGATAAATGATGACTTAATATATAATTAATATTGCTATAAATTAATTGTGAGAGGAGTTACAACTTTGGCTATTCAATTTTATTTGGCAGAATACAAGATTGTTTTACAACCCTAAATGCTAAAAGGTTACCTGAGAAAAATGGCCTTTTCAACTGTTGTGATGGTGTATCATAAGATCTGGTCATGTTATGGTATTAACATGGTTTATGGTGTAAATCTATTGTTTTAAACACCCATTAATGAGAATGTCTGCAGTTATAGTCATCTTAAATCACCGATGAGTTTGTTTTTATACACTACAAAAACTTTGGTTACATATTCCTTGTGACCTGTATTTTAATGGTTAACACCTTTTTAGAAGTGCCCATAATCTAGAAATACCAGACAAAGTGCATCAAAGCCTGAAATGTCTGTTATGTTAAAAAACAACAGAATTAAGAGGGACAACAGTCCCAACACCATAATACAGAAGGCAAGTGACTGCAGTCACCATCAATACACAATGGATAGATTTGCATGTTTGAGGATACAGCTGCAGGTGAACTAAATCACCCAAGAGTACAATTACGTTTTAAATATATAATTCAAAACCTTATTAGTTTGAGTAGGAAAGATTTCCAAAATCGTTTATACATTAAGAGCATTTTTGGAAATGGTAGATCAATTTACAATACATACTCCAAAGATGCCTTTTGCTCTATATGTCTAATATCTTGAGGTTTAAAGCTAAAAATTACATTCAGCACTAAATTACCCATGGAGTTATGACTTGAAAGGATCTTACATATATTAACAATTTTGTATAGCCCTTTTCTTCCAAAAAGATCCCGATGCTCTTCACATTTAGATGGGAACCCACTCATCCACCATCCACAGTGCCACTACATAG